ATATTTATTCACCGGGGATTGTGGAGAGAAGATCTACTGCTGCTGTCGCTGCTGATGTACGTGAAGCTCTACAGCGATATCTTGCACTTGATGGGGCAGTTGTACAAACACCCTTCTCTGAATTGGTGCCTGAGGCGGTGGCGACACGCTTCCATGAGTATCTAGAGTCTTTTGCTGCGGCGAGTGATAAGGGGAAGGACTACGCCGTTGTTACTACGCTTGCCTCCGTTAGTCGTGGGTCTGGGTGTGTACGAATAGGGCCAGATAGTTACTTGGAGTTGCAATTACCCCACGGTGTACAATTTGCTGCATCAACACTGAATGATACCAATTCCAACTCCCGACAGAGTCTTGCTGTGCGTTCTATTGCTCTTCGTGGGTTTTGCCGACAGGATTCAAATGAGTTTGGTAAGAGTAGTGATGACTTTTCGGAAGTATTCTGCATTGAAACATCACTTCGGGTAAGGCAATACACCGCGTATCCATTTGATGGTGGTCTTGAGGCACATCTTGAGAAACAACGTCAATTTGTGGAAATGAATGACTTGCAACGGGGATTCTCTTCGGAATTCCAACATGCACCGGAGTCTCCTGTTCGAAGAGGTTATATGTCTGAACCACAAACGGCGCCACAGACAAGGAAACCTTTGACTTCTAGCAGTTCAGATGAACAAAATTTACGCCATGAAGAGAGAGAGCAGCAAGAGCAGGTGCGTGAGATATCACCGTTGTCATCGTCACCGCAGATACATCATTCACAAGACAAGGATGCCCCTCGAGAAGTAGAAAAATTTGAGCAAAACATATTGTTGCTGCATCAGCGTGATAATAAATTGGAGAAGAAAGACTCTTGTAGTTTGTCAGATTCACCTACTCAGAACCCCTTACTATCTGCTACAGGTATTAATAATAACACCACTCATAGATTTTTAACTTGTGTTTCTGCAACTGATTTGAGTGCCACTGGACTAGACATGGAAGAAGAAGAAGAAGAGGAGGAAGAGGAGACTCCAGAGAATCTTGATAATGCGAGTAATGAGAGCTGCTATATTGGAAATGATGCATTTGCGGCTCCAGCCATAGATTCTGAACCCGTGTCTAAGGCATCAGTTGGGGCTGAAGATGATAGTCTTGTGATGCGTCCATCTGAATCATTTTCATCGTTCCTACGTCCATTCTTTCTACACTCGCTTGGAGGTGATGAGAATGTATGGCTCAAATACAATAAACCGTCACTCTCTGGAGTTCGAGGTCCCCGTGATCGGACGTACTTTAACGCAGCGATTCCCTCGACGGTTTTTTTTGCCGCTATGGAACCCCACCAGTCACCGCAGTTCCGCATGGCGCAAGATGAAACTAAGTTTGTTCAAAGGAGCGGCATAAATATCAATAACCATGACGATGGGGACGATGAAGAGGCGGATATATGGGCGCTTCGTCGCACAGATAATAGTAAGCGGTCACAGGAGGGATCCACATCAAAGCATTTACATGTAGAGGCTGTATCACCATTGATCGCACTGGTAACACCACAGTTTGTACGAAAAATATGTTTTGATGCCGAGATGAGGTTTCTCGCACTAGTGCGACACTACCAACGACCACCCGCCACACCTTCCGGCGATGTTAGTGTTGTTGGAACCAGTGAGGCTGATCGCACCGGGGGATTTACACAACAAATGCAGCATGGAAAGCGGCGGGGTATTCATAAGAAGGATCTAAGCAAAAATCGTGTTCATCAAAAACGATGGTTATCGGCAGTTCGAATTATTAGTGTTATTCTTCCGTGTATTGAGGTCAAAGTACTTACAGAACTCCCTGTACCACCCGAAAATATGGCACCCAACACAACTTGTAATGGAGTCTATACAACAATGCTTGGCGTTCGATCATTTCAGTTTGTCATGCAACGAACTGTTCCTCCAGCACACGCTGCTATGAATGTTGAGAAAACTGTCATTTCTGCTTCTGTCACACTCTCTTCTCTGGCTATTATTACACAGGTGGAGTATGAGCCTGGAATTCGGCATGGAAATCTACACATAAAAATTCCAGGAGTTGTGTATGATGATGAAAAAGACACTCTTGCTGTAGCATATCTCACCTCATTCTGTGGACGAGGAAGACGTACCACTTCGCAAGGCATGCAGAATGGCAGTTGTCACATAACTGTAGACACCATGGCTTTCCATATTACATGTGATTTTTTTCACTACGTACGGTCAATGAAGGCATTGTTTGAGCAGCTACAAAAAATGCGCCACTCACAGAACCAAGAGGGCATTTCTTATTCTGATTTGCAAGAATCAATCAATATTTTCCATCAACGCGGGAATAGCATGCGTGATTTTGTGTTTCCAAGACTCTCACAACAGTCAGAATACCCTTTTTTATCAACAGACTATGGTATAGAGGCCAATCTAATCCTACAAGGTGTAGCTTCCATCAACTGTGTGCGGATCGAACTTTTTGACGTTACTCGTGAGGGCAAATACCTGCAGGTTTCCACCGATCGTCCGAGTTTTATTGAAATAAAGCGTCCTTCCGCCAAGTTTCTTGCAAAGGTACCAATGAAGGGTAAAGGTGAGGGTGGGATACATATTGCAGACAACAGAAAATCCCCATTTGCTTCAAGACCCTCTGCATTATGGGGTGCATTCTCAGCTGAAGATGTCAACCGCCCCGTATTACCACCAGAGCGACATCGAAAACAACGGCGAGACGCACAGGTTAACTTTATTGGGGAGGTGGACTCTTTACTAATAAAGTGTTATCCGTCTTTACTTCATATATTTGGTGCAGCGAAAGAGAAGTCATTAGGTGTACTACCCCCAAGTAATAGGAGGAGGAGCTCGCTACAGGGTTTCCCAACCGCTGTACATGAGCTTCTAAATCTTTCTGAAATGAATGCATCTGGTGGTGGAATTGGAGTTGTATTTGTGGGAAGCTTCACTTTACATCAGCTGGATGTATCGATGCTATATTCAGAGTTAAATTTCATGCAGTTTAAAGGGTCAAAGATAACTGGATGTGGTGAGTCTCGCACGGAACATGTGAGTTCACGAGAGTGTGTTCAGACACATGTTCTTACTGCAGCGATTTCTGAAAAAATTCGGGAAAAGTTACGCCAATTGGCAAAAAGGGCACGAGAACGTGCTCCTAAGAGCCGTTGCGCCGCTCCTCCCTCTGTTACACCACAACTTCATTTAAAGAGTAGCGCTGTTTTCTTCGCAGAGACAATATTCCTTCAGTATGTTGCCGATGTGATTGTGCCAGGTACTACCACTAGTAGTGAAAGCACCACTTTGAATACACTTCGAAGTCAAGAAGAGTCAAGTGTCTTTATTGCAGTTGTCAAGAATATGGCTCTGGGAATACACAAAGCGAGCCAAAACGTTTGTTTCAGTGGCGATCGAGACTCCAAAGATTATTCAGAGAAAGATTTTAAGGTGGGCCGTGAAGGAGAGCAAATAAATCTTCAAATAGATGTTGGAAAAATTACGGTATCATCACCATATCGTCCCCAGGCTACTGAGACAGTACGGCCGCAACTGCATGAATGGTTGCAAGGTTGGATGGATGCGAGAAAGATTTTACAAGCGATGCGAGATGCTCGAGCAACATCTACTCATGAGGGTTATTTCTCCTTGTCAGAAAATTCAGCGAAAAGAATGCACGCATGGTTTTGTGCAATGCAGATACATGATGTTCGTGTGAAAAATGATTTGCCCCAGGGTATTACTTTGGAACTGTATATTCCTCTTGTTTCAGCCTTTTTAAATGCCTCTTCCGATCAGCGTTTAGCACTCAAGACACATTTTCATCCCTTCACACTGACTTCCAAAAGTTCTTCAATGGGACACCATGCTGTTGAGTTGCCAAGTGTTTATATTATCTACGCCAAAGATGAGGTTAGACAGACAGGTACGTGTTTGATGCAGAGTGTTGAATTTCATGTGTCACCAATTATTATTACTCATGTGTTGTTAATTATGGAGAGACTTGTAGCGGTACGTGAGGCATTATTAAATCCAATTAGTGTAGAAGAAGAAGAAAACAGAGGTCCTACAAAGTTTCAGATACCAAAACAAATACAGTCAAATGTTCCTTTGGCGAAGAGAAGTCACTTTTTGTTTCTTCTTGCAGGACTTCGAATGTCGTACCTTACATCCATGACGAACCTACGCTTTTCCATACGTAGACTTAGCGTGATGACGGATAAGGTCTCTTGTGGTAAGCAGCTAAAAACGGATATAGTGGCAAATGTCTCTAATGCACAAGTTGCACTTGTAGATCGTGATGATTATGATCAACTACAAGCTGCGTTGCGTCAGGCTGCAATGCACACTCGTAGCGAATCCTCCGTGCCTAGTACAAAGGCAGCACTGTTTGTTCACCGTCCCGCCTTTGCACAAACTAGTGAATTACCACAAGCAGTTCGTCCACTGAGCGGTTTTATTTGGGGTCTTTTTGAAGCCTCATTTTCCCTTTCAAGGCGTATGAGTGATATAAATGAGCTACGCGCAGCACTAGAGGACCTCCTCGCTAACTCACCGGTATCACCTGTGGATTTACGTGAGTTAAATAAACTTGGGAGTACTGCCACACGATGGAACATATCAGTCACTTCACCACTTATTATTGCTCGAATCGGGTTAATCTCACTGTTACAACGATCCATTGATGAGACCAAAGACCTTGTGGAAAAAATTAGGTTTGCGGCACAGCAAGAGGGTCGTTTGTTCCATAGACAACTAACGAAGTCAGCGGCGTACCGACGACTTGTGCGAGTGCGTAAACAGATGGAGGCTGTTAAGAGAAAGTCAAAAAGGTTGAATATTGAGCGTCTCAGAAATCTTACTGCACAGATGATGCCTAAGAGCGGCTCGACATTTCAGCGACGCTCTTCGTTATCCTCACCTGGCGATACTACAGTTCGTGATTCTATGGAGGAAGATCTTTTAAATGCTACCTCTGACAACAAGTTTGTTGCAACAGTGTCAAATTTTCTCGTCGTTATGCCCTTCGGGGATGCCGCATATCGCAGCATTTTGGAAGAATTACCAGACGTATATGTGAATGGACGTGGTGATCCTGTGCTGAACCGCAAGAAATTTATTCCCACTATGGCATTAAAGATGAAGGTGGAAAAAATTACATTTATATGTGGACTTCTTAAGACGCAACGATGCGTGCCTGTGATTCCACCTACACTTAAAAACAATTCCGCTGTATTTCTTAGAGAAATAGATGAACCTTCCAGCACAAAGTTAAAATATACAGCTCACTTTGTGCTGGATGATGCGAACTTGTACTTTAGTGATGGCTCACCTATTAATTTGGACTCTTCAGCAAGAGAATTGCTTGGTACAACACATATACTTGGAGGCCTCGGTATCCTCACCAGCTCCGACCGTGAGGAGTATCGTTACTCTTTGTCAAAGTTATATTTGAACTCTATTGATATTCCGCTTCATATTACTAAGCAAGGGAATGAGGTGAAGATAGGTGCCATTGCAGAAATGAGTGCTCCTAGGGTCAGTCTTTCAACACGTGTTGTGAGTATTCTTAGCCAGCTTATTCAGGAAATACCATTAAAAGCATTCCCTCCTTTTTCCCAACAACGTGCAGCAGCTAACGCGACGAGTGATGGCACTATCACCACCACAGTATCGTCAGCAACCGTAAGAGGAGCAAGTGTAGAGTCGGATTTTTATGTTGACCCAGTGGCTTTATTAGAAGAACCGCAATCGATAGATAAAAAGACCCCATTATTATACTCCTTTGACGTAACGGCACGACTTGATCGTGGTGAAGTGATCATTTACTCTGTCCAAAAGGATTCTACTACTGGGGCCCCTGTATCTTCGCAAATAGGAGATCCTTTAACGAGTAAAAACGCACGCTTAAATCGGAGACGTGTGAGGTTCTCTTTTGTTTCGGATAAAAATGGGAATGTCTTTCCTTCTACCCCTGCTGGTACTGCTGCTGGTGTATCACAAAAAGGAAGTCCCATGGCGGCACTTCTTACAATACCAATTCCTGACATTACCGCGCGGGTCGTAGTAACATTTGGTGGTAGTATGAGTGATGAGGAGCAAACAATCATTCTTGTGGAAATGCGGGCAAGGACTATAGAGATTGGTCCTTCAATAGTCTCACTTGCGCAAGAGATTGAAGAATGGATGACAGTATATGATCGTGATAAGAGTGAACGGGCTGGTAAGATCCTCGCTATTGTGAAAGAATGGGAGAATGATATCACCAATAGTATACTTTCTTTGCATTCACCTATTGCTGATGTGGCGTTACCGTTACCACGTGCCTTTGCTGCTGGAATGATTCAAATTCGTGCAACCTCAAGCAATGTTAGTGCTTTACGACGACTTCAACGACAACGACAGAGTCGGGTCTTTTCGCCAAGCATGCTAGGCCGTTCAAAGTTGGCACCAATTAAGAAAGTTGACACTAAGAAAAGCAGTTTTATGAGTATTCATATACGCCTAACTGGATTTCGTCTTGTGTTGACAACAGAACCTGTCTCAACAGTTGGCCTCTCACTGTTTTTAGAGGAACGTGGTGGAAGTCTTGATTTCTTTGTGAAACGGGTATTAGGAAAACACTCATTATGGTTTGGCGACGTACCAGCAGCTACTCCTCCAGTGGTGTCATTCTTTCTCTGCGTACGTCGTTTGCGGGTGGAGTGTCAGGCGAAGTTAGAGGTGAAATCATTTGAAATGGATCTCCCGGAATTGGAGATGTGCGCTGCACTTCGTCGTCGTAGTCGCCATCGCAAAACATGGTCGTTGATGAATTTATCTATATACATTCCGCCGGGTGGTTCAGGTGGTACGGAGTTGAGTATTACACTGCGCGCAACACACTTGTCACAACTCTTTATTGTTCAGGAACTTTGGCACAGAACCTTGTACGCGTCGCTTCACAGCATTCGTCAAATGTTCGCCCGCGGAGCTCATATAATTAAAGAAAATGTGAGTAAAAACCCTGTTATACAGCGACGTATGGCTTCATTACAGAAGATTATTGTAGAGGAGACGCTTATGGTTGTACTTACAGCTTCGCACAGCAAGGTACGTATTGATCTTGGTTCGGGCAACGCTCAGCAAGCATCACTTGGTGGTATTAACTTTGCGTTACAGTCCACAAAAACCGCTAATCACGCTTGCCGCAAGGTATGTTTTGACTTGGCTGTGAGATCCTTCATGTTACGCTCCGAAGGTGTTCTTTCTGGCGCAGCAAGCCTTGAAAATGGCTTTCTAAAAGGATTTTTAATAGAAAATGCGGATGGTGTGAAAGTGTTAACGCGCTCACCTGGAGGACGAACATTCCGTCAGGCAATGTGTACACAAAAATTGCATATAATGTTTAAGGAGAGGCAGCTCAAGGATGTGTTTGAGTGTCATGTTGGGGAGTTCTCTGGAAATGCTATGGATGGTGTTGGAGAGGAGGACAGTGCCACAGTCCATGCAGAAATGTTTCTAAGAAGAGGTAATGTATTGATAACTCCAAGCACCGTCCCGGCATTTCTCAGCACCATTAGGATTTTTAGCGAGATTGTCGCAGCCCAACAGAAGGTGACAGCGGAAAAACTTATTGATAGTGGTGTACAGGGAATAAAAACTTCGTTAACAGAGAAGATGAAAGACGTTGTTCGCGGTGTTGAGTGGGTTCTGGATCACCGCAATTCCACTGGAGTGGACAAGAGTGCAAATCTTCTCTCAGACTCTCCTGAAACTGCTGGTGCTGCTAATGCTTTGAGTGATGGCGACAGGAAAGCTAATGTGAGTACTGTATCCAAAGAAATTGATAACAGCAAGAGCAATATGTGTATTCTTTTTATGGGGAATCCCCTTACACGCATTCCATGTGGTCAAATCGAAATAAAAGTTGAACAGACGACTTTATTGTTGGGAAATGCCCCAAAAGGTATGAATACCTTAAGTAGTCTCGTAGCAAGTTTTCCCCGGGCAACACTTTCCTTTGCGGAGTGTCCAAGTGAAGGTAGAAGTGTGATAAAAAAGATGCTAGTACTTGATGCGGAAAATGTAGAGCTTTTCCGACCTGGTTCCGTTAAGGTACTTATTCTAGGTTTCCGCGGGCCCAATAAGTTTGAATTTTACTCTAGACAAAAGATAGGAGAAAGTGAGGTGGGGTTTGTGCTGAGTTTGGATCAGGCACACCCTTGGACTGGGAACCCACGTTTCCAAGATTTTCAAGAAATGATTCAGCTCGCCCGCTCCTTTACTGCAAAAAGTAATGCCGAGGTTTTTCAACATTTTGGTGAAGTTGATCATTTATGGCCTAATGAAAGAGAAAAAGTCGCTACTGCTGATGATAATGAAAGTAAAACAGTCAAGCAAGATGTCGAGACAAAACCCGTAGATGAGAGACGCCTAAAAGCATTAAAAAACGTAAAATTTTCACCTCATTTACGTTTTGGGGGTGACGTTGCAGTTAATATCGATGTCATTCTTAATTGGCTTGGTATATCAGAGAAAATGTTGCCGTATATTATTCATGTGAAACTGTGCGATAAAATGGAAGCCCTTTTGAACCACCTTTATGAAAAAGAAGTAACGAATATGTAATAAAGGGGAATATTTACTTAACAATTACTTTTTTTTTTTTTCTCTATGTCTCTATCTATCTGTCTCTCTATCTATACACCCCTCTCGAGTGTATCTTTTTTTTTTTCTTGATTTGATTTTATTTTTATCATGTCTCCTATTTTTTTTTCGTAGTACACGGAATTGACTGGGAGGTGATAAATTTGTATTTCTTCAGCAATCGATACTCCCCACCACGACCCACCAGAGGCAAGATGGTCGAGTGGTCTAAGACGTGACGTTCAGGTCGTCATCTCTCCGGAGGCGTGGGTTCAAACCCCACTCTTGTCAGTGTTTTTCCCCTTTTGTTATTATTCTTTAAAAGGAATTTTTTTTGTGTTTTTGGCTCTCTGAAAGAAAAAAAAAAAAGGAGAGTACAGAATTTTTTTTTTTTCCTATTTTTATGTTGGTTGAGGTGAATCATCTTTTTAAAAATAAAAAAAATCTCTTTTCTTTTTTTCTTTCTTTCTTTGCAAATATACAACGGGTTCAATTTTTTTTTTTTTTTTTTTTTTTTTTAAAAAAAAAAAAGAAAGCAGATATATATATATCTAAATCATGGAATCAGTTGATGATCACGGTGGTGCACACACGCATCAACTGGAAGAAGTTGTAGCCGGAACACAAGAACCTCAGGAAGAAGAAGAACAACATGAACAAGAATTCATGAATGATAAAAAGGAGGAAGAGTCACAACAAAAACTCTCCCCATGGGATCGTCTTTACGAAGAGGGTTTGCGACGGGAAATGAGGCGGTTGGAAATGTGTGAAAAGGCAATGGCAGATCGTTTGACTCGTTCATTGTTTGGACAGCAGCAAGAGCAAATACAACAACAACAGCAACAACACCCTTCCCCCACTGAAAGGGGTAATGTTGTATGGACGAATGATTTTAATGAACGTCAACAAAAATGGTTAGAAGAATGTGGAGAACGGGTGCAGCAATTACGTGAAGCGGCGGAGTTGGCAGAATTAAGTCGTTTACAGCCTCCTACTATTAACGAATCTTCCCGCAGGATGACAATGAAAGCAGGATATGAGGGACCAATACGAGGTTGGGAGGAGCATTTTGCGCGGTATGTCTTGCGGTCTTCACCTAATCGTCCGTCTATACCTGCGCATATGTTTCGACCAAACATTAATCTTAACGCCTGCCGCTCAACAGGACCAGATGCAGATGTTGTGGAACGCCTCTATTCTGATGATGAAAAACGTCGACAACGATTAAATGAACTGATCAGTAAGTATCGACGGGAAGAACTTATAGATAATTCTACAGGAAAGCCTTACTTTAAACCTCACTCTTTATACAGAACTGGTAATATAGCAAAAGATGGACAAAATAATCGCAGTGCCGCTGAGGCAGCAGAGACTTTATATCTTAAGGCATTAGAACAACGTGATAAACATAAGGCGTTACTAGAAGAGGCACATGAGCAACATTCTTTTTCACCTTATATCAATGAACGTTCACGCAAGATGGCAATTAAGCGTAAAACTAAAGAAGAAAAGAAACAAAATGTTATATCACCACCAGTAATAACGCCTAAAAAAAAGTCCAAAATAAATATGGGGGATTTTCTATTGCGTGAGGCGAAGTGTTTGGAACGACGTAGACAAAAAATGCAGGAAGTGGGAAAATTACTTTTAGAAAAGGAGCAGCAAGAGTGTACTTTTAACCCTCGTATTAGTAAAAAAAGTGTAGAAATTTTTGAAGGTTCTCAACACCGATTTAACAGTCACTCTCCATTACAAGATATTGTCCAACTTCAAAATATTAACCAAATGTCACCAGCTGAAGAAGATTTCAATTTGTACCAAGAGGAAGTTCCCGTGTATGATGTTTCTTCTCCATCTCTATATAATTCCAAACCAGTATCCAATACAATGACGAGTTCGACTGATAACGATAACGGATCACAACTCATTAATGAGTTTGAACAAAAAATGAAAGAACTACTGGATGAATGGCGTAGCCTTGAGCATGTTTAAATTATTTATTTATTTTTTCATCTCGCCATAGTTTTACATCACTCAGAAGAGTACTACCTCTCTCTCTCTCTCTTTTTTTTTTTTTTTTTCCTCTCTCTCTCTCTCTCTCTCTCTCTTTCTAATATCGTATCAGTTGTTATTTTTTTCTGTATGAGTAGTTTAAGTTGTACTATGGTGAAATATGACATTTTCGTTTTTAGAGATTGAGTTTTTGTTTTTCGTATGCCATGATTCTGATTATTTTTTTGTTCTTTTTTTTGCTCTTGCTTAAAAGAAAAATATATATTTATTTTTTTTTTCTTTTTCTATTTCTTTTTTTGTTTTTCTGTAAAGGGAGTGAGTGGGGGTGAGTAAGAGGAATATATATATATATATTGTGTCTGTTTTTTTATTTTTTTTTTTGGTAATGAGACGCATCTGTAGTGAGTCGTCTCTGTTGATACGGACGGCTGTTGTGATTCCCGTACGTCTGTGGAGGCGCACGCCAAGTCCCGATCGCACAAGAGATGAAGAGATTCAGGATCGTCAGAATGGATTCATTTGGTCAGAAAAACACATTTTTAGACCTCATCAACACTTTACGTATGATCCGTGTAGTTGGAGTCGACCTCTTGAGGAGAAGGTGAAGGCAAAGAAGAAGCTGAGTATAATAGAACGATTAAAGGCACTGGAGGAGAGACAGGCTGAAGCTATTAGAATCAATGAAAAGAAGGATAACGAAGATGAACATGTAGACTACTCATCAGATGCAGATTACTTTTATTCAGAAAAAGATTCTGCTACTGCTGCACCTCCACCACTTCAGGGATTACTAGAGCGATTAAATGAACTTAATACACTTTTAACAGCTCCACGGCATGCCGGTTATTCTCTTAGAAAACTTGAAAAATTTCAAAAAGAGTACCGTGAAGTTTTATTACTTGTCTTTGATCGCGTTCAAGTAGCTGTTGTAGATGAAACTATGACGTTTGATGCCCTTTTATATTCATGGTTTTTTTTGCTACAAGGAGCACAACAATTACTTGAAGTGTTGACAGGAGAACAAAATGGTGAAGAACAACTTATAGATGCTATTCTTAAAATGCGTTCTGCACTTGAGAAATTATTGATAGATGCAAGGAAGCGTATAGATACTCCATTAAAGGAGTCAATAGTTTTGGAGAGTTGGATAGAACTATTTGATGTCATAACTCATCCTTTTACACGGCATAGCAGTAAACTAGAAGGTGAGAAAACAAAGTTGTTGTTAAGAAAAGATGATATTTCATATCTTCAGGAGAATGTCTATCAAGAGATAATGAATGCATTGATAGAACGAATGATAACAAATGATGCATCAAATTTTCAAACAGAATTACTTGATCCACAACATTTACAAGTTCTTCTTCATTGTATGATTCGTTATGACCCTTTGAAAAATAATAATAATAATAATAATAATAATAATAATAATAATAATAATAATAATAATAATGAGAAACACCTACAGCGTGTGGCATTGCTTACAAAGAAGGTAGTAGAAGGAATCTTTACATCCGTTAAAGGAGTTGTGGCACCACCGGCTTCTCAATCAATTAGACTTGCACTACTAGGGAAAACCACTCAAAGTGTTGTTGTTAATACAGATGAAGTAAATGAGAGTGATAAACCACGGGCTATTGTATTAGATGCGTGTGGCCCACCAAGTGGTGTGAGAGATCCAGTCACAGCGGCGGATGATGCAATCTATTCAACTCGTGCTTGTTTATATTTACTGCAGCTGACGAAGTATGCTACCTTCAACACACGAATTAAAGCCGTTGATAGTGCAGATAAACTTCTTCTCTTACTTTCACATACACCAAATTATGATCTTAGTACTTGTGATACCATTAACTTTGTCTGTGAGTTATTAGGTGATAGTTTCTTCTTGAAGGATGATAATAACGCTGATGATCGTTTTTTACGTATTCTTCTTTTACTTTCACGTCTTCAACTTTTGATGTGTAATGACAGAACGACATTATGTCGTTTGTTTTATTCAATGTGCGATATCACACCACCTGAGTCCTCTTCTCCCTCAGTTTATCGGGAGTGGAAACGTCTTCATGGTCTTATCATGCACCAGTTATTGTACACATTACGAACAGAGGAGTTATCAAACTACTACACACATATTAGTTATAGTTCCACTAATACTACTAATACTACTACTAATAATAATAGTGGGGAAATAACATGGGAGGAGCATTTGATATCTGGAGAGTATAGTGGAAGTATACCAATCTCATTATGGCGTGACGCCTGTGAACGTCACTTTAACGGAACGACAAAACCTTCTTTATCATGTGCACAAGCCTTATTGCAGCTTCGATCTCGTTGCAGGCCCAATCATGAAGTTCCAACAGTTACTTTGAAGAATTCTTCTTTCTCTGCCTCTACTTTAGACTTTGATTCTGTTTGTTTTTTGGTGCGATTGTTGAATATTATGTCGAATGATCTTATTAACGTGGATGAACTTATAATGGATGTTAATGCAGTTGGTTGGGATATCGCGTTGAACTTTGCCGTAGATGATGAACCGCTATTGGAACTCTTGCAGAGTGCACGCCTCTGTGTTAAAGAACGGCAGGATGCGGGGAGTATCGTGACGACCTTCACGTAAAGAAGAAGAAGAAAGTAAAGTAAAAAAGAAAAGAAAAGATAAATGGAAGAAGAAGAAGAAATAATAATAATAATAATAATAATAATAATAATAATAATAATAATAAAATAGTTCTTTTTTTTGTTTTTCGAAGCGGTTATAATTCCATCTATTCTTTATTATTATTGTTATTATTATTCTGCTTCTCGACTTGATACAGTGTTATCTTTTTGACTTTTCTTGTTGTATCCTTTTTTCTTTTTCTTTGAGTGTATACACATTGCGTACATGCATAAATCTCTCTCTCTCTCTCTCTCTCTCTTTGTGTGTATGTTTGTCTGTTTTATTTGTGGTTATGTATACTGTGTTTCTGTCATCTTTTTTATTTATTTATTTATTTATTATTTTTTTTTTCATACATTTCAAAGAGAAGCGTAAACTGTCACCGGTGATCACCTTACTTAACCCAAAGAAAGAAAACAAATAAGACCAGAGAGCAAAGCAAATCAAAGTTAAGCAAATAACATAAAAAAGAAATCTATATACATATATATTTATATATATCCAAAAAAAAAAAAAAAAAGAATATATAATCAAAAAAAAAAAAAAAAAAAAAAAAAAAATGCCAGCGGAAGTTATTCTTATGTTTGATGTTGCTGGTGTTCTCTCCACAGCACCGTATCCAGCAGCACGTCGTCTTGCAGAAACTGTTATGCGCTGTGTCTTTGAACGGGCGGCGGTACATTTAATGTCCATCGTTGGTAGTGAGTCCCCGTTATTGTTGGCACGTCACTATTCCAACTTTTTCTCACTTGTGCGGCACTTTTCAGAACAAACACGGGGAGTTAGAGGTGCGTATGAGCGATTGGAGTTGGGAGAAATTAATCGCGTGCAATTTGTTCCCATGTTTCAGGCTGAAATGGAATTTATGTTAACAGCACTTTCCAAGAAAAATCAGGAGGAATTAGAGTTAATGCAAATTACAAACTATAAACGTGTTCTGGCCATTCGGGATCGATATCCACTTCTTGCTGATCCAGTGATTCAGGAACTTCTACGTGAGTTGGTGGATCCAGAGGCATTATTATGTACCGTTGAGAAGATATCACCACGTCGTAATGTACTTAATCTTCTCCACTATTTACGCATGAAGAGTCAACAGGAGATTCGTCTTGTGGTTGTGGCCAATACATGGGAGGTGGAAGGGCAATATACACAAATGACAAGAACACTCTCACATACAGTTGGTAATACCAATTGGTCATATTTTCCCACAACTTGTACATTTTCTTATGGGAAAAACAGCGGAAAGTCATCCTTTGTGATTAATGGTCTTTTTGACGCTTATGTTCAAAGCTATACATTTCATAAACGTAAACCATTTCCGGATATATTTCTTTATGCAATTGATGAAGCAATGAAAACTCGTATGGCTTCAGAGGCATCCTTAAAGTTTGATGTCAAACCGCATATTTTTCTATTTGATAGTGTATTGGAAAATTGTGAAACAGCTCGTAATCTCCCTGATAATCCTTTTCAAAAAGTTTACTATATTGAAAATGGAGCCTATGACGTTTATGAAGATGTATTAGATGCCCTTAAAACTGTGGGTGCCACTGATCCTTTCTGGGCAGGTGTAGTGAAGGGTGTAGAAGAAGAAATAGCACCTTTATTTAAACCCCCACGTGATGCTAATGGTAATCCTACATCATGGATTAATGAAGAAATGAATGATTACAATTCAAATCTTCTTGTTTTACCTCCTCCACCATGTGAAGCCTGTGATCCACGTGGATCTTTTGAATATCAAGCTTTTCTGGATGAAGATGATAAGGATTCTATTCTCTTCTATCTTGCCCAACACCTACCTCATTTATTCCCTATTGATGTTCCAACAGTACGTAAAGGTAATTTACAACTCGCACGTAAACCAGGATTTGCAACATCATCTGGTCCCATTTTATTTGAACCCATGAGAGGTATAGGCTTCTTTAAAACGTATCGTATTACGTTACGTACGGGGAGTTACGTTCTCCGTGTGCAACCACGTGGTCCTACTCCATATGATACGGTTGATATACGCACGGAATATCAAGTAATGCAATATTTAAGTCAAAAATCAAAATTACCAATTGCAAAATGTTACTTATATTGTGGTTCATATGAAACATGTGGACATCGTTTTTCATTACGTCGATTTATTGATGGTGAAGTCATTTCAAATGTTTCAAAATTAATTCAACCACGTATTTATCGTCCATACTCAAAGAGGCGACAGGTAGTTAATGTTGAACTTAATCCTTTTGTCTTTTTTAAAAGAGCAGTGGACGCATTGACAGAGCTACATAATGTTCCATTATCAGGTTTTCCTTTTTTGCAGCGAACAGAACGACAACGTGGAGGCAATAACAATCCCGTTCACCCACTACTTGAATCTATCAAAGATTGGATGGTGGAGTACAAGACTGTTTCAAATTGTAAAACAAATCCTGATGGAAGTTCTGCTTTTCGATCAAAAACCCTTGAACGTCTTTCAGAAGCACTTCTAGAGCGATTTGATTCAACACGTCTGCAAGAGCGAACTATTCCGTTTCCCGATAATCTTGTATTAATTCATGGTGACTATAAGATACAGGATCTTGTGTTTTCTCATCGTTCACTGGAGGGTAGACATAAATACCCACCACAGGTACTGGGTGTAATGAACTTCAATGCATGTAGCGCAGGTGATCCCTTAATTGATGTAGCAAGTTTGGCTCTCATAGCATTAATTCGTCCACCACGAGGTGTTTATGGAATGCCTTCTGAAGTAAAAGGACTTTTCCCAACACCACGATGGATCTTGGATAGATACTGTAATGCTCGTGGGTACATGAGACAAATAACAAGGAAAAAGCGTGAGGCTATTTTTAATGTATACCTTTCTGCTATGTGTCTACGATGTGCTATCGTTATCTTGTCTCACCTTGCTGAAGTGTATAGACATCATGAAGAGCTTTCTATGGCAGACGTACGTAAATTGTCCCTTAGTGAGGAAATTTTACAGCAGGGTCTTGCTGTCATAGAGCAAAACTGCAGCTCAAAGTTATAATACACTCTTTATATATAAGTAGTTGTGATTGGTTTGGTTTTTCTTACTTTTTGTTTGCAGATATAATTATGTGTCTAAAACAGTACGTGGGAAAGGAGAGTAAAAAAAAAAAAAAAAGAAAACGCAACTGTAATTTCGGAAAACATTATTAGGAACAAGAGTTTAAAACGATATTTTATGAACTAGGTAAACATATAACCAAAATAAGAGGCAAAAAAAAAAGAAGAATTAATACGTATAGGATAGATGTGGTTATGCTGGTATCAGACTTCAAGAGTTACAACTCCAGTGTAGAGATATGTGAAATAATTCTTGTTGGAGGTAGTGTCTATGTAGTGAACAATTTTTTTTTTTTTTGTAATGGTGATCCTGTTTTTTTTTTTTTTTTTCCTTACTGGGTGTTGTGTGGTGTGCCATTTTTTCTTTTTTTCTTTTTTTTCCTTTCTGTGGGGAACCACGTAAAGGGTGAGAAGAACATTTTCATCGGTTTTGCGGCACCTTTTACCACTTTTTTCCCAATCACACAGCCGGTTTTTTTTTTTTTCTAGTTTCTTGGTATGAGAGACGTGCTGAGTGAAGATTGATAAATTAACCGTAAGTTTATGCCATTCACTGTATTAAATTCTTTTCTCTATATTGGCTCTTTTTTATAGATGGGTGGTAGCGGTGATTTTTGTCTGCAACGCATACTCCCTTCCCCCGTCCACCTTTTTTTTTCTCTTTACTGTAGATTTTTAGCACAAGGGTATTTCAAAGCATATATTATTTTTTTTCCCCTCTCTTCCCTTTTTTTTTTTTTTAACATGTATTATATTTAAAATCTCTTACAGTTAAGCAAAAAGGAAAAATAAAACGTAAGCAGTTTACCAATGTTTTGATAGTTCTTCTCTTGTTTTCACTGATATCAATGATGCTTTTTTTTTCTCTTTTCTTTTATTTTCAGATCTGCCCCAGTCTCGCCCTCTACAGTGTGAATGGATAAATTTCTTTTTACTCAGGGGTCTCCTTTTTTTCTTTTTTTCTTTCTTTCTTTCTTTCTCTACTTATCTGTTTGTAATGCAACACCTTTATTTTATTTCTTTCCCTCTCTCTTTCTCCCTTTTTTTTTTTCACTTTTTCTTTCTTCATCTGCCTCTCCAAGTATGTCTCTGTGGTGTTTCCCAGTTTATTATTATCATCATCTAGCATATAGAAGGTCTATTTCTATTTTCTCTTCTCTTCTCTTCCCTTGAGTGATGCCCGGGGAGCCGGTCTCAGGGGTCCTCCGCTACCCCGACGGCGCCGTCTACGAAGGCGGAGTGGCGGCCGGGGCGCCGGCGGGGCGGGGCGCGTGTGTTTTTGCGTCCGGCGCCGTCGTCGTCGGCAACTTCGTCGCTGGCGTCGCGGAGGGCCCGGCGGCGGTCCTCCTCCCCGGCGGTGTACTCTTCACAGGCACACTCCAACACGCACGCGCACACGGCGACGGTATATATCTTACCAGAAACACACTCACACGCGGCAGATGGGTACACGGCGCACTACAACAACACGTTGCAGAGCCAGCGAATAGAAACACCGCAGCGCATCTTCTCGCACCAATGGTGGAGCTCCTCGGAAAACAACTCACACATCTTACTCAATACGCACACAAAGAGGCAATCACTGTGAACACCACCGCTACTCCCTGTGAACCATTAGTACAGCTTAGTGAGATAGACTATTATAATTCTCATAAAATATATGAAGAAGAAGAAGAAGAAGAAAAGCAAGATCCGCAATTTAGTGAAAAAGAACAACGCGGTACGTGTACAGTCCCAACGCGGGCACCTTCGCAAGGTTCAACGCTTGGAGGTGGAACACCACCACCATTGTTTCCCACGGAACCAAATGGCTCTTTTTCCTACGGTACCTTGCGTAAACGGACAGTCCGGGTGGATTCTCAGCATCAAGAGAAAGGTGGAATAAGAAATATACTTGTTACTGGAGCTTCGCCTCAGGCGATATTTGCATCTGCTGCACCAGCAGCTAATGAATTTTTTTCATTTCAACGTTTTATGAAGTATTGTGTCCTTTTTTTGTTTCCATTTCTTTCAGTTCCACAGCTTCCTTTTTCCCCTATTCGAAGCGCTACTTTGGAGATGGAACGCGAGTTTGTGGTTAGTGGTGCTCCTCTTTTACGTAAGTTGGACCCTCCTGTTATCTCACTTTATATCATAGCAGTTGCAATGTGCTGTCATATTGCGGCCATTGCTATCGTTGCTGCAAAAGTAGATGTGAGTAATGTGAGCAATGGTCATCTAACAACTACAGAAATGGCTATCCCTTGTGTTCTTTGGGTAACACATGCCTGTATTTGTGCCGGTTATAATAGTTACATGAGGGTAGCACATGCATTAGAGCGCCTAGATAGACGTTTGACACCACGTCTATCTGCTTTTGCTGCAGGTATAGTAGATACTAAAACAAAAGTTTGTATATATACTTGGGATGATGAGGGACGAAGTATGGTTACTAATAGACACTACCGGTATCGATGGGTAGGTATTTCAGTTTTTATTGGGATTCTTATGGGTTTTGCAGGACCTATTACACGTGCAGGATTTGGACATCCATTATTTGGTAATGATAAATACGAAAGAGCGGGAGAACTTCTCGTTTTTGCATCTGTTCTATTATTTTCCGCTGCTTTGGCTTACTATGTATTAAAAATGATTGATATGCAACGACAGATATTAGAACAGATGCGAGTATTAACGCGACTTGCCTATCTTGAAGATAGAAGTATAATGCATCCAAGTGAGTCATTACATGAGCGGTTTAACTTTGAGGAACCGTTAAATACTGGAGATGTTTTTAACGGTGTGACTGGATGGTATGTGGTACGCTCTATTGTACTTTATGCAGCGACATGTTCAAATCATGCTGCACGAAGTTCTGCTATGAGTATATATTTCCTACTGGTTTTTTGTTGTTTTATAGTATCGATTGGAGATATTATTTATATGGTAGCGTCTGGGAATGCACGAAATGGTAGATACTACTCTGTTGGACATACTTATGCCATAATACTTTGTATTTCATGGGGAGTTATGCTTTTGCGATATATGTATATATGTGTTAGAACGGGAATTGAGCGTGCGCGACACCTTTACCTTCTTGATGTTGCATCTTTATATCATCGTCTGAAACCAAATTTAACTGATAGTAGTGCTGACATTATTGGGGCATGTAGTAAAATGGTAAAAGATCATGATCAACTTCCATGTATTTTCTCCATTCAAATCACTCCACTTTTTTTAGCTTGTATGGTTCTCATTCACATGTTAGCACTGGTTGTTGTTGTTGTGGATGTGTACCTTGCAATTCACTTTCGATAGGGTTAAACAAAACTCATCAGTTTTTATTTTTCTCTCATCTCTTCAGTATTACTGCAGATTCCTTCTTTTATCTATGGTATGGCTTTTCTACGACCCTACGGTAAGACAAAATAAAAATAAAAATAGTGCAGTTCTTGTTTTTTTTTTTTCTGTTATTTGTTTTTCCTTATTTTTCCCATTTTATTTTTCTTTCTGCAGATCCTTTCTAACGAACTTATTCTTGGTTATTCCTTTTTTTTTTCATTTTTAATACCCTTCTCATTTTATCTTATGGTCTCTTTTTAGAAGGAAGAGAAAATCAGAAAAAAAAGGTGTTTTTTTTTTTTTTTTAAAAAAAAATAGTAACAATATATGTTTCTTTATTTATCCTATTCTTCTTCCACTGGAGTATGAGACGACCTCTTTGTGTATCTGGCCACCACTTTTCCCCAGAAAATGAGGCTATTCTCTGGACACATGCGATGGCGCGTAATTATTTAACAGAAGTGTGGGTGCCTGAGACGCTTGTGGCCCGGCTGCAGCTGCAACCGGCTGACACGAACAGTAACCTTCCTGTCGGCATTAACGCAGCGAATGGTCGACGGTTTTTCTATAATCTATCACAACTGAGTTGCACATACAAGGAATTACAAATGAAAATGTTGGGGAATGTTGCAACAATTTATTCCAACACGACAAGTTATGAAACAAGAAATGATACACATCCTCTAAATACCAACGGAGAGTTATTTCCTCACACTTTCACAGAAGAAGTCGTAACCCGTTTTGGACCTCAAGGCAAAGAAGGACAAAGCCGTTATTGGGCCACAATAGAAGAGGCAGAACACATTTTTGGTGTTCCATTTGAACCATCATTCTTAACAAAAGCGAATGGTGTGACTTTATACAGAGATGAAGTTAGCCCGCGAGCAGTTTACTACAACGTTTGTGGAACCAAACGCCCAGAAATGTTCAACACCATGACATGCTGTCGATATGCTCCTATTAATTTCTACGGACAGAAATATTCTCCCACGGTAGCGACACAACTGAAAGCCAATGCAATTCTGCACGGTTGCATTAATAGTACCATGTGGATTACTACACAGAGAGCGATACGCAGTGGTGTTGGCATACGTCAAGGGGTAAAACCAATAACTTTTTGCTTTGGTGACATTTTTCATCTTATAAACGTTGCTATGACAAATCATCCGGCTCGCTTACTCGAACAAGCATTAACAAGGACACCACACGTAACGGAAAATGATACCTTCCTCACAATATCTGAATAACTACGTTTCACTGTCAACTTTAAAGCATCCTACAGTTGTACATATTTGATCTGTGTACAACAACAATAATTTTTTTTTTTTTTTTTACAAAACTGCATTTTTTATTTATTTACACTGTCATGCGTTTCTGGGTTAGATTACACTGGCTTTGTGTTTTCTCTTTGGTGTTGTTTGAGTTTCTTCTTGAGGTGTTAGTCCTTCACCGGCGATTGTATGGGTTGAACCTCTTTTGTGGGAATCAGTGATGTGTATGTTTTTCCTGTGGTGGAGTTGTTTTTCCGTTCTCTTTCTTCTTTTTTCTCGTTTTCTTCCTTATTTTCCTCCTCCTCCCCAGAAAGTTATTGAAGCAAAAAGAAAATAAAAAAGAAATGGTGCTCGGGTTTAATGACCGTATTACGGTCCCCGCGTCGGTCAGCGAAACACAACGCTTTGGTTTCGTTGTTGTTTGCATGTTTACCTCTCTTGCATCTGGTGCCCTTTATGCGTTCTCGCTGATATCGGACAAGATGGACAGTGAATACGGATTTTCGCAGAATGACATCACCACAGTCTCTACTACTGGTATGGTGGTTGGCTATTTCACATTGCCATTTGGTTTCATTTACGACTACATTGGTCCGAAGCCTATTCTCGCTATCGCTCTTGGTACCTGCTCAATTGGTTGTTTGCTGTTTGCATTGACGTTCGACGATACAATTGGGCACAACGTGGCAAGTCTCTCCGCAATTAATGGCATCATGACTCTGGGGACAACTCTGTTTGACGTGGGCGCCGTCCTGTCGATCCTCAGTTGGTTTCCTGTTGACCGCGGCCTTTTTGTGGCGGCGGCGAAGACGATGACAGGGTTGGCGAGCGCTGTGATTGCAACAATATACAACACATACTTCTCTGGTAATCACTCAGCATACATGTACTTTCTTCTGGGAATGGTGTTCGTTATTGGGACTGTTTGTTTTGTGTATATTCAGATACCACCATACCACATGACTGGGTACCGGCTGAAGCACTACACTGAGGAGGAGCACGATATTGCGCGTCGCGTGGAGCACCTGTACCTGACGACAAAGGTCCCCCGATGGCGTTTTATCTACATCTATGTGATTGTGATAAGTTTGTTTATTGTTATTACTACTCAGAGCACTGTTTTTGTGTTTTTGGGAGATGATGTCACTTTTGCACAGCGCAACCCTCCAGCAATCATTATGATTGTGTTGTACTTCTCACTTTGTCTTGCTATTGTGCCATGTCCGTGGCTGGATAAAGCTACGTCCGTGAAAGATAGCAGTGTGGAGCCCGCTGAAGAGGGTAATAAGAGCGAGGGAGGCAATTTCCCTGAGCAACATCTGAAGGGTGTGGAAGAAGGTGCCCAAGAGGAACAGTTGGTTACCAATGATGATAAGAACTTCCCGCAATACCCCACTGGCTTTTTCTACAACCTCCTCCACAACGTTCCACTCTGGTGCATCTATTTCAACTGTACCGTCCTAGCAGGTGGTCTGACCATAATTACTTTTAACAGTCGTCAGATTTTCGTTGCTATTTCTGAAGACCCAGCTGAAATTCGACTCCCCAGTCTGTACGTTGCGCTGATGAGCGTGGGCAGTGCTCTGGGTCGCTTTGGTGTGAGTTTCTTTGAGGCATGGAATGCAAGCCGGCCACTGGAAAAACGTATTCCAATTATCATCACCTTTTGTATACCGTCTTGCTTTCTCTTTCTGGCGTCAATACTATTTCTCTTTGTACCGACTAAGGCATTACTACTTCCAATGTTTTTTGGTGGAGTGCTCAATGGGACGTACGCAGCTTCAGCAGTGTTGACTATACGGACGATTTACAGCATTGATCTGGCTACGCATTTCAACAGCACTTCCCTCTTTGATCTTGTTGGTACTGTGATTTTTAACCGTTTTATGTTTGGCGAATTGATGACAAGGCAGTCCTTCACCGATGAAGATGGCAACGTCCGTTGTTTTGGGCGCAAGTGCATCCAGACATCATTCATTATATTGGCTTGCCTCTCAGTGTTGGCGTTTTCGGCAACGCTAGTTATGTACTTCTCATACATGCGCTTTGTTCGAGCCACACGTAAGGAAAGGGAGCAGGCATCTCGTGAAACATCGGAAAAAACTTCTGTTCCCAATGTTGAGTAGGTTTGAGGTATTTTTAAAACGAAATTCTTTTTTTTTTTGTTATTATCTCCCCCAACTTTGTTTTTTTCTTTTTTCGTTTTTTTCTTCTTCCCTTTTTTTCTCTGCAAGACATGAATAGAATCGGTAATACTTTTAATATTTTTGGAATTGTTATTTTTATTAGGAGCTTGTGAAAAGAATATGTATCCGGTTTTGGTCTACTATAATTTGGTTTTGAGGTTTGTTTACCTTTTCTCCTTTGGGTGTTGTTGTAGTCAAAGAGACTCGGTTTAATCGAATAGAAAGGATTTAAGATTTTGGTTTTTTCTTTTCCGTCCCACCCACCCCCTTATCCCCTCCACGCGGAGGGTTCTGGAGAGGAAGGGACTCTAGAATCTGCCACTTCGTAAGTCCTGCCGGGTAATCTTTCGGCGGTATAGAGAATTGATGGTATGTTTTGTTTATTGCGTGTTATCGTTTCATGATAAGTATGTGTTTTGGAATCATTTGGAACTTCATAGATTATTTGTTTGTTTATTTGTTTATTTATTTGTTTACTTTTGACCAAAGTAGGAAAGCATATTCTGGAAAATAAAGCAAATATAGTGAAAGTGTATTGATAAAAACTCTTTTCATAATTGTTGGTAAAAATTCATTAAATGTCTGATAATTCATTGTATTCAATGTTACGTTTAGATGTATTATTATTTTCATTTTGACTTTCTTAATTCGTGGTCGTTTGTTGTAATATCGCAATTCGTTGACCGTTTTTTTTTCACATGTTTTGGAAAGGTGGAATTATGCTGAATGTATTATTATCAAATTGTTTTTATTTGTATGGGGTCTTTCCGGTGATGGTATAAACGAAAATTGATAGCGATATCCGCATTATATGGAGGATTGACTTCACTAAATACAGGCTGTTGCCATACTTTAAAGGTATTACAAGTATGTACTCGAGAACGAAAAAAAAATCTTATGACTGGATGGCCAAAATTGATCTGAGGCACCAAACAGAAGAAAACGTAGGAATCAGTGTGTTTTTTCTTTACTGTACATGGTGAAAGGGAGAGCTGCCATGGTAAGATATTTTTTAGTAGAACAGTAATTCGAAGCATTTCTGTTTTTTGTGTTTTTTTTTTTTTTCTATTTTTCTGTGGGGAGCGGTATGCATTTTTTATTTATTTACACTGTCATGTGCTTGTGTGTTACGTTTCACTGTCCTTGTGTTTTCTCTTTGGTTTTGTTTGAGTTTCTTATTGAGGTGTTAGCCCTTCACCGGCGATTGTATGGGTTGGACCACTGTTGTGGGAATCAGTGATGTGGATGTTTTCCTGTGGTGGAGTTTTTTCCGTTCTCTCTTTTCTTTTTTTTTTGTTTTCTTTTGCTTTGGGGGAGGTATTTGTGTTGTGCGTTCGTTTATGGTGAGTTTTTAGTAGAAAGGAGGCAATGCAGCGTAGTGGTGTGCGGTTGTGCGTGACGGCACTGCAGCTTTTTGCGCTGCAACGGCGGAAGGCGACGACGTCGTACAAACACCTGGAGAGTGCGGCTGGGCTGCGGACTGCCTTTCAGCGCCTCTCTGCGGAGGAGAGAACCGCGCTGGAGCTGGAGGCGGCAGGGCTGCAGGAGGATGTGGCACTACAGTCTGCCATGCACGATGTGAGGGCTGTGGAGGAGAATGATACCAGTGGTGAGACCGCAGTGTGAGTTTCTGTGTGGGCAGTGTCATGTTGTGATTGATGGGCGGGGGGTGGAGCTACTCTGCTCTGTTGTCAATGGTATCGTTCTCCCACAAGGGATGTGGGATGTGCTCTGCTATTTTCATTGCATAATCTAATGTTTTTTCTGTTTGTTTTCTTCCTTATTTTCCTCCTTCTCCTTAGAAAGTTATTGAAGCAAAAAAAAAATAAAAAAGAAATGGTGCTCGGGTTTAATGACCGTATTACGGTCCCCGCGTCGGTCAGTGAACCACAACGCTTTGGTTTCGTTGTTGTTGGCATGTTTTGTTCTCTTGCAGCTGGTGCCCTTTATGCGTTCTCGCTGATATCGGACAAGATGGACAGTGAATACGGATTTTCGCAGAATGACATCACCACAGTCTCTACTGTTGGTCTGGTGTTTGGCTATTTCACATTGCCATTTGGTTTCATTTACGATTACATTGGTCCAAAGCCTCTTTTTGTTATCGCTGTTGTTACCTTCTCAGTTGGTACTATACTGTTTGCATTGACGTTCCAGGATACCATTGGGCACAGCGTGGCAAGTCTCTCCTTAATAAATGCCATCATGAATATTGGTTCGGCTTTGTTTGACATGGGCTCCATCCTGTCGATCCTCAGTTGGTTTCCTGTTGACCGCGGCCTTCTTGTGGCGGCGGCGAAGACGATGACAGGATTGGCGGGCGCTGTGATTGCAACAATATACAACACATACTTCTCTGGTAATCACTCCGCATACATGTACTTTCTTCTGGGAATGGTGTTCGTTATTGGTGTTGTTTGTTTTGTGTATATTCAGATACCACCATACCACATGACTGGGTACCGGCTGAAGCACTACACTGAGGAGGAGCACGATCTGGCGCGTCGCGTGGAGCACCTTTACCTGACGACAAAGGCCCCACGATGGCGTTTTATCTACATCTTTGTGATTGTGATAAGTTTGCTTATTGTTATTACTACTCAGAGCATTGTTTTTGTGTTTATGGGAGATGATGTCACTTTTGCCCAGCGCAACCCTCCAGCAATCATTATGATTGTGTTGTACTTCTCGCTTTGTGTTGCTATTGTGCCATGTCCGTGGCTGGATAAAGTGACTGCCGTGAAAGATAAAGCTACGGCTGAGAGACAAAGCAGTGTGGAGCCCGCTGAAGAGGGTAATGAGAGCGAGGGAGGCAATTTCCCTGCGCAACAGGGGAAGGGTGTGGAGGAAGGTGCCCAAGAGGAACAGTTGGTTTCCAATGATGATAAGAACTTCCCGCAATACCCCACTGGCTTTTTCTACAACGTCCTCCACAACGTGCCACTCTGGTGCCTCTGTTTTAACGCTATTGTTTATTCAGGGGGTCTGTTTACCATTTCTTTTAATGCCCGGCAAATTTTCGTTGCTATTTCTGAAGACCCAACTGAAATTCGACTCCCCAGTCTGTACGTTGCGATACTGAGTGTGGGCAGTGCTCTGGGTCGCCTTGGTGTGAGTTTCTTTGAGGCATGGAATGCAAGCCGGCCACTGGAAAAACGTATTCCAATTATCATCGCCTATTGTGCACCGTCTTGCTTTCTTTGTCTGTCGTCAATATTATTTCTCGTTGTACCGACTAAGGTATTACTTCTCCCAATGGTTCTTGGTGGATTGGCCACTGGGTCGTACGCAGCTGCACTTGTGTTAACTGTACGGACGATTTACAGCATTGATGTGGCTAAGCATTACAACAGCATCTTCCTCTTTGATCTAATTGGTGCTGTGATCTGTAACCGTTTTATGTTTGGCGAATTGATGACAAAGCACTCCTTCACCGATGTAGATGGCAACATCCGTTGTTTTGGGCGCAAATGCATCCAGACATCATTCATTATATTGGCTTGCCTCTCAGTGTTGGCTTTTTCGGCAACGCTAGTTATGTATTTCACATACATGCGCTTTGTTCGAGCCACACGTGAGGAAAGGGAGCAGGTTCCTCGGGAGCAAATGATGGATGTTACTCCTCTTTGTGTCGATTAAAAATAATGGTTATTGTTTTTTTTTTTTTTTTTGACTGTATTTGTTTATGTTATTACTGATTTTATTTCTCTTTATTGTTGTAATTACCTTTTTTTGTAGAGAAAAAAAATTTATTTTTTTATTTTAGTGCTTTTATTTTGTCGAAAATGAATTGCCATGGGAGCATATATCGAAGTCTGTATGTATATATGTTCAATATGGCTGAGAACGATTGTAAAATCATCACGTGTTGTAATAATAAAGTGATGAATTGATATAACTGACTATATATTGAAATACAATAAGCTTTTTTTCCAAATGGGAAATTATGCTGAAGATATTATTATCAAGCTTTTTTTATTTGTATAGGGTGTTTCGGGTGATGGTATGAACTGGAAATTGATAGCGATATCCGCATTATATGGAGGATTGACTTCACTAAATACAGGCTGTTGCCATACTTTAAAGGTATTACAAGTATGTACTCGAGAACGAAAAAAAATCTTATGACTGGATGGCCAAAATTGATCGAAGGCACCAAACAGAAGAAAACGTAGAAATCAGCGTGTTTTTTCTTTACTGTACATGGTGAAAGCAAGAGCTGCCATGGTAAGATATTTTTTAGTAGAACAGTAATTCGAAGCATTTCTGTTTTTTGTGTTTTTTTTCTTTTCTATTTTCTGTGGGGAGCGGTATGCATTTTTTATTTATCTGCACTGTCATGTGCTTGTGTGTTACGTTTCACTGTCTTTGTGTTTTCTCTTTGGTTTTGTTTGAGTTTCTTCTTGAGGTGTTAGGCCTTCACCGGCGATTGTATGGGTTGAACCTCTTTTGTGGGAATCAGTGATGTGGATGCTTCCCTGTGGTGGAGTTTTTTCCGTTCCCTTTCTTCTTTTTTTTGTTTTCTTCCTTATTTTCCTCCTCTCTAGAAAGTTATTGAAGCAAAAATAAAAAAGAAATGGTGCTCGGGTTTAATGACCGTATTACGGTCCCCGCGTCGGTCAGTGAACCACAACGCTTTGGTTTCGTTGTTGTT